CTTTACCAGGTATACTCAACAAACTTCTTCTTTCTTTCTTCTTTCAACGTACCAGCCGTATCCCACTGAGGTGGGGTGGCCCAAAAGAAAAAACTGAAGTTTCTCCTTTTAAATTTAGTAATATATACAGGAGAAGGGGTTACTAGCCCCTTGCTCCCGGCATTTTAGTCGCCTCTTACGACACGCATGGCTTACAGAGGAAGAATTCTGTTCCACTTCCCCATGGAGATAAGAGGAAATAAACAAGAACAAGAATTAGAAAGAAAATAGAAGAAAACCCAGAGGGGTGTGTATATATATGCTTGTACATGTATGTGTAGTGTGACCTAAGTGTAAGTAGAAGTAGCAAGACTTACCTGTAATCTTGCATATTTATGAGACAGACAAAAGACACCAGCAATCCTACCATCATGTAAAACAATTACAGGCTTTCGTTTTACACTCACTTGGCAGGACGGTAGTACCTCCCTGGGCGGTTGCTGTCTACCAACCCACTACCTATACTCAACAAACTTATCCCCCTATAATTTTTGCACTCTCTTTTGTCCCCTTTGCCTTTATACAAAGGAACTATGCATGCTCTCTGCCAATCCCTAGGTACCTTCCCTTCTTCCATACATTTATTAAATAATTGCACCAACCACTCCAAAACTATATCCCCATCTGCTTTTAACATTTCTATCTTTATCCCATCAATCCCGGCTGTCTTACCCCCTTTCATTTTACCTACTTCCTCACGAACCTTCCCCACACTCACAACTGGCTCTTCCTCACTCCTACAAGATGTTATTCCTCCTTGCCCTATACACAAAATCACAGCTTCCCTATCTTCATCAACATTTAACAATTCCTCAAAATATTCCCTCCATCCTCCCAATACCTCTAACTCTCCATTTAATAACTCTCCTCTCCTATTTTTAACTGACAAATCCATTTGTTCTCTAGGCTTCCTTAACTTGTTAATCTCACTCCAAAACTTTTTCTTATTTTCAACAAAATTTGTTGATAACATCTCACCCACTCTCTCATTTGCTCTCTTTTTACATTGCTTCACCACTCTCTTAACCTCTCTCTTTTTCTCCATATACTCTTCCCTCCTTGCATCACTTCTACTTTGTAAAAACTTCTCATATGCTAACTTTTTCTCCCTTTCTACTCTCTTTACATCATCATTCCACCAATCGCTCCTCTTTCCTCCCGCACCCGCCTTCCTGTAACCACAAACTTCTGCTGAACACTCCAACACTACATTTTTAAACCTACCACATACCTCTTTGACCCCATTACCTATGCTCTCATTAGCCCATCTGTCCTCCAATAGCTGTTTATGTCTTACCCTAACTGCCTCCTCTTTTAGTTTATAAACCTTCACCTCTCTCTTCCCTGATGCTTCTATTCTCCTTGTATCCCATCTACCTTTTACTCTCAGTGTAGCTACAACTAGAAAGTGATCTGATATATCTGTGGCCCCTCTATAAACATGTACATCCAGAAGTCTACTCAACAGTCTTTTATCTACCAATACATAATCCAACAAACTACTGTCATTTCGCCCTACATCATATCTTGTATACTTATTTATCCTCTTTTTCTTAAAATATGTGTTACCTATAACTAAACCCCTTTCTATACAAAGTTCAATCAAAGGGCTCCCATTTTCATTTACACCTGGCACCCCAAACTTACCTACCACCCCCTCTAAAAGTTTCTCCTACTTTAGCATTCAGGTCCCCTACCACAATTACTCTCTCACTTGGTTCAAAGGCTCCCATACATTCACTTAACATCTCCCAAAATGTCTCTCTCTCCTCTACATTCCTCTCTTCTCCAGGTGCATACACGCTTATTATGACCCACTTTTCGCATCCAACCTTTACTTTAATCCACATAATTCTTGAATTTACACATTCATATTCTCTTTTCTCCTTCCATAACTGATCCTTCAACATTACTGCTACCTCTTCCTTTGCTCTAACTCTCTCAGATACTCCAGATTTAATCCCATTTATTTCCCCCCACCGAAACTCCCTACCCCCTTCAGCTTTGTTTCGCTTAGGGCCAGGACATCCAACTTCTTTTTATTCATAACATCAGCAATCATCTGTTTCTTGTCATCCGCACTACATCCACGCACATTCAAGCATCCCAGTTTTATAAAGTTTTTCTTCTTCTCTTTTTTTAGTAAATGTCTACAGGAGAAGGGGTTACAAAACCCATTGCCCCCGGCTTTTTTAGTCCCCTCAATACGACACGCTTTGGCTTAGGGGGAAAAAGATTTTTTTCCCATTTCCCCAATGGACAATAGAAAAAAATAAAAAAGGAAAAAGAGCTATTTAGAAAAAAGGAGAAAAACCTAAATGTATGAATTTGTATAGGGCATGTGCGTTTTCTTTTGGAAGTGTGCCCAAAAGTGAAAAGTAGGGTGGGCAAGATACCCCTGTTATCTAGGTTTTTTATGAGACAGAAAAAAAAACCCAGAAACCCTACCTTTCATGCAAACAGTTAAAAGGTTTCTGTTTTCACAGCCCTTTGGGCAGGAGGTAGTTTTTCCCCTGGGTGTTTGTTTGTTTATAAAAAAGGGCGGGAAAACACTTCAATAAGCCTGTTGGCCCTTACTAGGCAGGTCTTTAACAAACCTTTTTTTTCCCATAACAGAATCATTTTCCCCAAACCCCAATTTTCAATGCTTCCAACAATAAGCTTTGTTTAATTTTCTATTCACTCATGTGAAAGCCCCCACTCAAATTAAATCATTGGGGGGGGGAAGTACCCTGTCTGGTGTGGGGGGGGAAAGTACCCTGGTGGTTTGTGGGGAAGTCCCCTGGTGGTGTTTGGGGAAGTACCTTAGCGGGTTTGTGTTTTGGGAAAAGTACCCTGGCTGGTTTTGTGGGGAAACCCACCTGGCGGGTTTGTGGGGGGAAAAGTACCCTGGTGTTTGAAACCACCAAAACCATCCTTACCACCCCCAATTTTTCTATCTTTTTTAAAAACTTTTTCTTGAATTCTATAGTGTTTCTCCCCCTCTTTATCAAAGGGCTGGCACTAGAAGCTTTTTTTGGGGCCCCATGGTGGCTTATTTAGCATTTTCAAGCACTAAAACCCAAGGGAAATAATACAAAATGTTTGCTGTATGATGGAATCGTCCTCATTGGCTGGAAAAAACAATGGCACACTGGTGTACTGGAGTGTCCGGGGGGGCTCACTGCACGCAGCACTTTTCGGGAGGGAAAGGGTTTTAAACCCAAATTTTCAGCGTCGTTAACCCAGCCAATTTTTTGACACAAAAAAAAGTTACTTAAAACCCATGAAGTCCCTTTAAACCCTGGGGTCCCCTTTACTGTTTTCCGATCAAATTTATTTGGTAGTTTAAAATTTTTTTTGTTTAAATTGGCAATTTCTTGTTTTCAGTCGATAGGGAAAAGAAGGAATACCCAGTGAAAAAACCTATGAGTTTGGTTGACAGGGAAAAAGGAATTGGCCATTTAAAAAGGGGGTCAAAATGGGGTGAATTGCCAAAAGCTAAATATTGCTGAGAAATGTAACTTTGCGAAAAGGCATGTTTCTTTTAAATTTTCCAAAAAAATTTGTACTTTTTTTTTCATTACCTCTGGGGGAAAAGATTGTCTTTTCATTTCATAAGTTTTTTTTTTTTTTTTTTTTTAAATTTTTTGTACCTGAGAGCAATTGTTAGATCAGGGGTCTGGTCATGAAAAATTTAAAAAAATTCATTATGGAAAACACATTAAAAATAAAATATCTAAAGAAATTACCTAATTAGATATACAGAAAATTTTGGGGGGCCTTCAGGGAAAATTATAAAGAATAAGGATTTTATTTTTTTGGTTTAAAAATTACAATGTGAAATTTCAATTTTGGTTTTTCTAAGTACAAAGAAAGTACTGTCATGCCAGGCTGTTTAGGGAGGGGCCCAATCCCAGTGCATAATAATACTTAAATCTAGACAAAATAAGAATGGTTTAAATTTTTTTAAAATCTTTTTTTTTAAAACTTTAACTATGGTTAAATTTTTTTTAAAATCTTTTTTTAAACTTAATTTCTATGGTTTTAAATTTTATTAAAATCTTTATTTAAAATTAAAACTAATGCGAGGTTGGGCATGGTGGAGGGGCCCTTTTAAAAATAATCTTGAGTTGCACATAATAAAACAATATTTTCAAATTTAAAGGTTCAAGCAGTAATTTTCATGGATTGGCAGGTGTTTAATAGATTAGTGGGCGTTTTTAAATAAAATGATAATTTAGAAGTTGTTTTTTTGGGTTTGGGTTTTGGGTTGTATTGAGAGATGAGATGATTTATAAGTACAGTGGACCCCCGGTTAACGATTTTTTTTCACTCCAGAAGTATGTTCAGGTGCCAGTACTGACCAATTTGTTCCCATAAGAAATATTGTGAAGTAGATTAGTCCATTTCAGACCCCCAAACATACACGTACAAACGCACTTACATAAATACACTTACATAATTGGTCGCATTCGGAGGTAATCGTTATGCGGGGGTCCACTGTAGTCAGGGGATCCTTTACCGGTTCGGGTAATGAATTTCAGATCTTCGGGCCCTTTATGTGCATTGCATTTTTGCATGGTGTGAGACTGACATGAGGGATGTTGAAGAGTCCCTTATGCCTTGTATTGTAACTGTGCTGTCTGTTGTAGCTATCAAGAAGAAGTTTAAGTGGAGGGTTTATTTTGGAGTATAATGTTCTGTATATGTAGTAGGCACAATAATGTGAGTGTATGTCTCGTATATTTAATAAATTCAGGCTTTTGAAAAGTGGTGGGGTGTGCTGTCTAGCACAGGAACTGGTAATCATCTGCACAGCAGTTTTTTGTTGGGTTATTAAAGGTTTAAGGTGGTTGGCTGTGGTTGATCCCCAGGCACAGATACCATAGGTGAGGTCGGGATATGTTAATGAGTGGTATAGGGTAAGGAGTGTCGTTTGGGGTATGTAGTATTGTATCTTGGAAAGGATGTAATTTTTGTATATAGTGATACCATTTTATTTTTTTTTGTTCTTCATTGCTGAAATTTCTTTTATCAGGTCAGATAAAGTAAGGGGCTACAGCTTCTTGGAACGTTCTGCATGGCCTGAAATTGTCACAGCTTTAGAGACTGGCACACAGCATATTTTTAATCCTGGAAACCCTACCACATTTCATCAAGTAAGAGTTCTGTAGTCTGATTGTAAAAGCTTCCAAATATATCTTGTAGTATGATTGATATCATAATTCACTTGGCAAATGTCATAGGTGCTAATGAAAAGCTAAGTCAGTATGAGTATTCTTTGCCAAAGTGAGAGTGACTATATAATGCAAAGTAAAGGAAGGCTATTAACCCCGTAACTGTCCAAACGTAGATCTACGTTTTCTCGCATAGTGCTCCGAATATCTTGAAAAAAAAAATATTAAAATGAAGAGGGCATTTTTCTACATGTAATAGGATAAAAAAAAATTTTAGGGTCAGTTCTTACCGAGATATAAGATATAAGTGCTGGATGCTCACATGATGGCAACATGGAGTCCTGCCACTGGCAGAAGTGTTGCTGATATACCTTTTTTTCATTTTTTTTAATTTATATAATTTTTATGTTCTCATAATTGCAATTTGTAGTAGTTCTTGTGATTTCATAACCAGTCTTTGTTCTGACACTAATATTAGGTACTGAAATAGTACTCAACTAGTCGCAAACATGCTGACAGGTGAACATTTTCACCTATCTTGGTCACATATTATTATCTAGAAATATACACATAGTATTTACAGTAGGGGCCCGCTTTTTGGCGTTTCGCCTTACAGCGTTCCGCTAATACTGCGATCTCAAATTACTGGGCCAAAACATTGGCCAAGTTTTTTCCCAAAATTTCACGCGGCCACCCGTAAAAACCCCATTGAATTTTGTGAGCCTCTCCAAATTTGTAATTCCCCGCCATTTTTAAATGCTAAATAAGCAATAATGGGGATTTTCATTAATTCATTCTTTTGTTTCTTAAAAATTATGGTAAGAAAACCTTCTTGGCCAAAACCACTGTGGTTTTTAAAAAGGGTGGTTGGGGGGAGGAAAATTAAGAAATTTTAAATTTGGGCACTAAAGCCCTTATTTTGGGTATTTGACATTTTTAAAAATTCTCAATTTTTCTTCAAAATTTATAAGAAAACATGACAAACTTTAAACTTTTGTGTATATTTAAAGGATGTTAGGGGCCTTTGGGAAGTTTTTAAAAAACATTACGAACTCTTAAAACATAATTTTTGTACAAGTTCCGGTTTATCTAACTTCCTTTTTTTGTGGCATTAAAAGGAGGGAAAAAAACAAAAACTCATAACATGGTATGTTGATTGTAATAATATGGCTCTGGGCCACATTAAATATTGTGTAGCTATGTAGGTAAGTGTAGGTACGTAGCCCAGGTGGACTCCATACCTATACTATTGTTATAACTGATAATTATACATATGTGTACCTGTACCTAAGTAAACTTACACACTGTGCTGGCATGCAGGTACACATTAAAATCACTAAGAGTGTTTTATTAGTCCTGAAGATGCCATATTAATAATTATAATAATAATATCACAACAATAATCACTTTAAGGAACATTAAATATAGTATAAAACGTTAATATCGACATTTTGCTTAATCCATCTAAATACACCCCACAGTAGAATAAATTAACATAAATTTGAGATGGGGTTGTAAAAGAAGTAAATGCTAGAGTGTTTCGGGAGAGGGGTGGGATTAAATTATGGGGAATTAAATACAAAATGGGAAGTGACACAGTTACTTTTTGCTGATGATACTGTGCTTATGGGAGATTCTAAAGACAAATTGCAAAGGGTAGTGGACGAATTTGGGAGTGTGTGTAAAGGTAGAAAGTTGAAAGTGAACATAGAAAAGAGTAAGGTGATGAGAGTATCAAATGATTTAGATAAAGAAAAATTGGGTATCAGATTGGGGAGGAGGAGTATGGAAGAAGTGAATGTTTTCAGATATTTGGGAGTTGACGTGTCAGCGGATGGATTTATGAAGGATGAGGTTAATCATAGAATTGATGAAGGAAAAAAGGTGAGTGGTGCACTGAGGTATATGTGGAGGCAAAAATTTTTATCTATGGAGGCAAAGAAGGGAATGTATGAAAGTATAGTAGTACCAGCACTCTTATATGGGTGTGAAGCTTGGGTTGTAAATGCTGCAGCGAGGAGGCGGTTGGAGGCAGTGGAGATGTCCTGTCTAAGGGCAATGTGTGGTGTAAATATTATGCAGAAAATTTGGAGTGTGAAAATTAGGAGAAGGTATGGAGTTAATAAAAGTATTAGTCAGAGGGCTGAAGAGGGTTTGTTGAGGTGGTTTGGTCATTTAGAGAGAATGGATCAAAGTAGAATGACATGGAGAGTGTATAAATCTGTAGGGAAAGGAAGGCGGGGTAGGGGTCGTCCTCAAAAAGGTTGGAGGGAGGGGGTAAAGGAGGTGTTGTGGGCGAGGGGTTTGGACTTCCATCAAGCGTGCGTGAGCATGTTAGATAGGAGTGAATGGAGACAAATGGTATTTGGGACGTGTCGAGCTGTTGGAGTATGAGCAGGGTAATATTTAGTGAAGGGATTCAAGGAAACTGGTTATTTTATATAACCGGACTTGAGTTCTGGAAATGGGAAGTACAATGCCTGCACTCTAAAGGAAGGGTTTGGGATATTGGCAGTTTGGAGGGATATATTATGTATTTTTATACGTGTGTACTTATAAACTGTTGTATTCTGGGCACCTCTGCAGAAACAGTGATTATGTGTGAGTGAGGTGAAAGTGTTGAATGATGATGAAAGTATTTTCTTTTTGGGGATTTTCTTTCTTTTTGGGTCACCCTGCCTCGGTGGGAGACGGCCAACTTGTTGAAAAAAAAAAAATGAGATGTGGTAGCCAGATGACTTGCAGGACTTGTGGTAGCCAGGCAACTTGTAGGAGTTGTGGTAGTCAGGAAACTTGTAAGGCTTGTGGTAGCCAGGCAACTTGTAGGACTTGTAATAGCCAGGCATCTTGTAGGACTTCTGGTAGCTGGGCAACTTGAAGGACTTGTGGTAGCCAGGCACTTGTAGGACTTGTGGTAGCCAGGCAACTTGTAGACTTGTGGTAGCCAGGCAACTTGTAGGACTTGTAGTAGCCAGGCAACTTGTAGGACTTGTGGTAGCCAGGCATCTTGTAGGACTTCTGGTAGCCGGGCAACTTGAAGGACTTGTGGTAGCCAGGTAACTTTTTAGGACTTGTGGTAGCCAGGCAACTTGTAGTCCAACATCAGAGAAAATGTGTCACTATAATATTACTGGGGGTAACTAGAAAATTATTCCTTTCATATGCCTTCACTGAGGGTGTCATTTCTTCTAAAAATGGTGTTACATGAGAATGGGAGTGTTTCTCTCTATTTATTCTACTGTATCAACATGGAAACAACTTGTACACAAACGCATCTGGTTTTGGTCACTTTACATTATCTGGTTTGTTTAGATTATGTGGGGTGGCGAGGGCTTCCCATCCTGGCTACTCATACTTCCCAACCTGACTTCATACAAATAAAACTCACTTCTCACCCTACATTAAGACTACAAATATTTTAAGGTAATTAATGAGTGTACTATATATGCATTTTATCACTCTAGGGAGCTTAATGTCATAGTAGGTATAAGTGGCCAGGCAGGATGCCATACCTCCCACACGACTTTCTACAAATAAATACTTTTCACCTCTCACCCTACATTAAGACCATTAAGACTACAAATATTTTAAGATAAATAATGCATGTACTATATATGCATTTTATCGCTCTAGGGAGCTTTAACCATCATAGTATAGTATGTGTGGGTGGGGTGGCCAGGAGGGCTACCACACCTGACTTCTTAGAGTAAATACTACTCACCTTTTGCCCTACATTAAGACTACAAATATTTTAAGGTAAATAATGAGTGTACTGTGTGTGTATCTTACTTTTTTACACCTAGTTCTATTGCTAACTTAATATATGTTAGTGTAAACTTGTTATCTGGCATTTATATGCATTTATAAATGGAAAAAATGGAGTTCTGCTTTCCAGCGAAGTCTGCTTTCCGGCAGTAGCCTGGAACCTAACGTGTCGAATAAGTGGGGCCCTACTGTATGGGTCCCAGCAATGTTTCAGGCACACTGGAGTATACAGCAGAACCTTTACTTACGAGTGCCCCAACGTGCAAGTTTTTCAAGATATGATCAGTCACTCGGTCGATTTTTTCCTTCCAGATGCAAGCGAAATTTCAAGATGCGAGTGGGCCTCAAGGGAGGTTCCTTGACGCTGGTGAGGGGCTTTTGATCTTGATCTAGGGAATTGGATCTCAGTTGTTTGTTGGATTATCTTATTGAGACTTGGGCAATGTATGACAGATAGATGCTTCTTAACATACACCAAAATTGAAAGAAATTGGACGATAAATAACAGAGTTCACTTCTCATCCATTAGTCTTCCCTTAGCATTATATTTTTATATGGTTTTTATGGTTGTATTCTTGTTTTTTTGGTCACATTTGATAGAATGGAAGATATATTACAGAAATAGATATGAATTTTATTGGTTTCATGACAAAATTGGGCTCAAAGTAGCAGAAATGTTTGGTTTTTGCCAATGTTCAAGAGTAAACAAATGACATCATTGACCAGTCCACCTGGCCAGTCTCATACGCAGTCACGAATGGGTTGACATTATTTATACAATATTACAGTAGTCTGCATAACACTAAATCTTCTGTGATAAATGGTTTTGAAAACCTACAAGTTGGAGATTGAGACACTAATGCAACATATGGGAATCTTTATTAAAGAAACGTTTCGCCACACAGTGGCTTCATCAGTCCAATACAAAGTGGAAATGGGTTAGGAGAGGAAGAGTTTGAGGTAATTAGTCCCTCACCCTGGAATGACACTGCAACATCATGGGATCTTGATACAAGAAATTCTTCAATACTTGTCCAACCTTTGGACGAAGACCTACTTAGATTAGTGGATGGTTCCACTAATCTCGCCTCATCCTGCTTCAACTCACCTGACTACAGTATATAAGCAACTTCTCTGGCCATATGCTGCACTTTCTACAAGAGTGATGGACTGAACACATTAATTCTAAGCTGAGGGACTGATTACCTCAAACTCCT